GGAATGGGATGTCACTTACAGTAAGTTCATATGCGAGTAAAGGCAGGTGAGCGAATACTTTTGGCAATATAGTGTATGTCAAGATCCTCCTTCTGGATCTTGAGCCTATCTGTGATGACCCCGGGCAAGGCATGGAGGCAACACAGCCAGCTGATAGGTCAAACTCCCCTTTATTGCCCCAACTTTCCCCCAAAAGCTCCCATGTTTATGACAAGTTCCGGAGCAAAGTATACACACACAGCAGCCTCTGGCTGCGAGTAGTCCAGCAAAACACTGTTAGCATCATGGCTTCAAGGCAAGAAATCCAGCGAGTCGAAGGGAGCAAAGTGGCAACAAGGCTCGGAGTCCCAGGAGGCAAAGGAACACCAAACTCCATGAATTCAGTGCTTGTTCCAGACAAGCGCCCCCTCCCAGAGCACCTGCTTAAGTCTTAATGAAATAGAAATTTCAGTGGAAAAGGAGCTCGAGATGCTCATAAGCCCTACCCCAAAAATAAGCCCCGGTTAAGATTGTCGGCCAGATGGAAGCATTTGGTACCCTTTTCCCACGAAAATAAGACATCAACTGAAAATAAGCCCTAATGCAGTGGTGGCAAACCTTTTCGGCACTGAGTGCCCAAACCAGAATGCCTGTGCATGTGTGCGCCCTGGAGTTCTGGAAACCCGAAGATCAGACAGCTGGTATACGTGCACACACATGCTGTTCTTTGCGTGCCAGAGCACCGGAAACCGAAAGACCAACCGGCTGGCACGCACATGCCTGGTTTTGGCCATTTTTCGGGGCGTTTTCCAGCACTCCAGCACTTGCGAAGACCAGCTTTCCGGAAACCAGAAGAGCAGCCGGTGACAACACATGTGCCCACAGAGAGGGCTCTGCGTGCCACCTCTGGCCCGCATGCCATAGGTTTGCCATCCCGGCCCTAATGTGTTGTTTGGAGCAAACATTAATATCTTGGGAATACGGTAGTTGTAAGTGTAATCTCAGCTCCAAGGCCCATGATTGAAACCCTTATAATCCAGAAGGCAAATTATGTGGTGCATTTGGGTTGATTAGCAAATTGAAAAATGCCCAAGGAAATGGCTAAGTAAACCACATACACTGTAGTCCTTGACTTACAACCATTTGTTTAGGGAAGTTAAAACAGCACTTCAAAAAGTGACTTTTGACCGTTTTTCACACTTACGACGGTTGCAGCCTCCTCGTGGCCATCCGGTCGGAATTTAAATGCTTGGCAAGTGGTTCCTATTTATGATGGTTGCAAGTGTCCCAGGTTTGTTTATTTATTTATTAAATTTATAGGCCGCCCAATCCCGGAGGACTGTGATCATTTTTGCAACCTCCTGACAAGCAGAGTCAATGGCCAAGCCACATTCCCTTAACAATCCTGCTACAATAATTTAACAATTGCAGCCATTCACTTAATAAATGTGGCAAGAAAGGTCATAAAACGGGGCAGAACTGACTTAGCAGCTGTCCTGCTTAGCAAACAGACATTTTGGCATCAGATGTGGTCGTAAGTTGATGATTAACTGTATTGTTACAGGGGAAGGGGACACAGCCACAGCCTTAGAGTTGCCAGCTGTACTTGGCACGTGCAACCATCCTTACCTATCGGTAGCTGCTTTTTATTAAGACAACTCAAATGCTACTCAAGCCATCACGAAAGCTACGGATGTTCTAACACAGCCATTGTCAGGTTTCCGAAAGATCCCCTAATTAATTCATGAGCCTCGAGCCAAGTTTCAAAAGAAATCCAGTCATTTATTAGGAACACCATTTCGGCAATGCCCCACTGCAGTCAGATCTGACCTCATTTTAATGATGGCTGAACTTTACCCCCGTTTCCTTCCTCCCCTGCCATAAATCACATTCACCAATGAGGTGCACGCCTCACAAGCCTGCTGCAGTAATCTGAGATCCGACTCTAGACGGAGGTATGGGTGGCATGCGCTCCTCCCCACTTCCCTCACCATGGTAACGTTATGAGTTGACAGCCATTTGGAGAGCCTTTCATGCCCAAACATGCCCCCCTCCCCAATGGGGAAACCATCGTTGTGTTGAGGTTGGTTGCCATGTTTATTTTCCCCTTCCTTCTTTTCCAGCTCTCTCCGATGATAATCAATGGTTTGCACAACATCGCCAGGAGCATTGAAACCCGTAACTACGCCGAGGGGCTGAACATCCACACCCACATCGTCACCACAAGCAACTTCAGCGAAACGTCCGCTTTCATGCCCGTGCTGAAAGTAGTCCTCACTCAAGCCAACAAGCTTGGAGTCTAAAGGGGGCTTCGGCGGAAGTCCCGGAGCTGTGGAAGGGTGCATGACGTGCTCCACATCCTGTCCCTTAGAGCATGATGCGGTAGAGAGAGCAAGTCCCGGCAGGGTCCCTGCCAGAGGAGCTTCACTTTAGAAGGGCTCGTGAGCTCTGGTGCTTATTCCTTTCTCTTCTCTTTTATTATTCCTACCTACAGATAACTGTATTTAATTATGCCACCCCCTCCATATCGTCCATTTTAAATGCATGGTATCTGCTGCTTTGAAAGTGGCTTTTAAATACTGTAAAGAGAGAGGATGAGGCAGCCGTCGTCAAAAGAAAAAAAGAAAAAAACCCTTCCTTCCACAAGTCTCATTATCAACCAATTAAAAGTTCCAGATTCTATTTTATATGTGTGCTGGCTTATTATTTTTAAGCATCTGTTGTTGTTTCGATTTATAATCAGCTGAACTCTCAGTTTGTGTCATAGTTTTGAGTTTTTTGGAGCCACATGACTGCTTGTTTAGGCAACTAGGCTAGAAAGCAGAAGACCGGGAGTTCTAGTCCTGCCTTAACCATGAAAGTTGGCTGGGTGCCTTTGGGCCAAGCACCAGGAGTCTCTGAGTTCCAGATCTGCCTTAGCCTAAAAGCTTGCTAGGTGACATTGGGCCAATCACCAGGAGACTATGGGTTTTACTCCCGCCTTAGCCATGAAAGTTAGCTGAGTGACATTGAGCCAATCATCAGGAGGCTGATTTCTACTCCCATCTTAGCCATGAAAACCAGCTGGGTTGGTGGACTGGCACTTCAGGCCAGTCCACCAACTCGGCTCACAAGGTTGTTATAGTGGGGAAAATAGGAGGAGGAAGGTGTATGGGATATGTTCCCTGCCTTTAATTATTTGTAAACATACAAACAAATAAAATAAAAATGCTTAAAAAGTAGTTTCTCAAAATTAAACTTCAGCCTTAGTTCAGTTCAGGTTGACTTTTCTTCTTGGAATGCATGATTATAACTGGTTCCAAGAGAGAATCTGCACGGCTCAGAATTGAAGTGTTGGGCTAACAAAATAGTTTCAGGAAAATCACCAAGTTAACTGTAGGAAGTCAAAACCCACCCCTCTGCTAGAAAAATGAAACATCCTGGGAAATATTGAAAAGGCAGAATATTATATTTCCCTGGAGGAGAAAAGGAGAAACATGTTTTTAGGCAGGAAGCAGATTCACTTTTAATAGCCCCCACCTTTGTCAATGGGCCATTTTTTAAAAAACCTGGACCAGTCTATTCTACATAACAAAGATCTCCCCCCTTCCGCTCCAGGGTGATGGGATTAAGGCATGATAGTGTTAGCCCTTCACCCATCTCACCACAGGGCAGCTGGGAAGAAGCAATGCTCAACCAAACTTGGACTCAGAGCACAGCCTACAAAGTTGCCTCTGCATGGCCCCATGGGAGTCTGACAACCAATCAGAAAACAAGATCAAGATCAAAACCCAGAGAGGGGATAAAACCAGGGACTTTCAGCATCTCTGCCCCTTTTTCTTCTTCACCCAACATCTGGAAGCCTGTGATCCCCCTTTTCTGTTCAGGAGCTCAAGCTGTCTGATCCCGTCCACCGTTAAACTATCTTTCCAAGCAGCCTCCATGTTTCCAGTGTCTTTTACCCCACTTGGAACTGAACCAGAAGGACGTTTCCTTCCAACAGTTGAAGAAGAAATATTAGGTATGTTTGCTACCCCGAGTTAGTTATAAAAACAATAAAGGGATAAAATACATAAACATAAATAAATATGTGTTTAATTGTTCCCAGGAGTTCCAGGATCTTGTGGTCCCTGAGCCATCTTTCATTTGCTCAGTGTATCATTTCGACAACCCTCTAACTGGATATTAAGTTCAAGCGCTATCAAATGAAGAACAATTTTTTTTTCCAGGAAGGAAGAGCAATAATTATGAAACACTTTGGCGGGAAATATTCTTGACATCTCCAAAAAGAACAAAGCCAACGTGCGCTTTGGTTTTCCCTTTGCTCTTTAATACAGTCGCTTTTCGCCGCCAGCATTTCCACTGAAATTTCTTTTTGCTCTGCACATATTGTGGTTTTTTGCAAAGCTGGAGAGAGAGAG